GCCCTGCTGAGGCTCCTGGTTTCAGCTATACCACCACATAAAACTTTGAATCAATTTTTGTAATACTGATTGACTTGGGGACATTTTTGTGTTTGCTAAAGTTAGTACTGTATCTTACTGCAACTAGTTGGTGTTTGGCAGTCATGAGAAATCTCCAAATTGTTTTGAAACATTAATGAGTGTGTGTGTGTGGGGGGGGGGMGTCTCAGTTTACTCATGAGTCACAGAGGTTTGTGTTCTTGTGACTTGAATTTTGATTGTGTTCAGAAATCTTGTGCAACAAACTTGCTGTGGGTGACTTAGTACCGGTTTATTTTCTGTAATTTCAAAGGGCTAGAAGTGTTTATGACATGTGGTCCTGAACCATGCCATGGGAAGCAAGGGTGCAGAGGGTGCTGGAGCATGCTTTGATAGACATCTAGAAAAGATAGCAAGCATTTCAGTGCATTGGTATTATTCACATTGCTGTTTAAGGTCATACATGCAAACATACACAAAGTCACAGATTAAAAGTGGGAGAGGCTCCCAAGGTGGACAAAAAGAACAATGTGCTCTGCCTAGAATACAGATGTGCACACAAAAATATGTTGTCATTTTCAAAAACTTACTCGTCTCATGAGACTGCAACTGGAAATGTGCCTGTCTATGCACATTTTTTGTCATTAACTAGTCTCCACCAGTGATGTACTCCCTTAAAGGGGCAATATTATGTGTTTCTCAGGCATATATTTAAGTTCTATACCCTAATAAAGTATCAGTGCCACCTTTAGTTGTTATTAAAATGCTGTTTTTATGTCCAAATAGAAAATAAACGTGTCTTCTCACCATTTCCGTTTCTAAACACCTTGAAATTGGCCTCTGTCTCTTTAACAACCTCCTTCCGCTTCTGTCCCGCCCATTTCAACATGTGGGGGGAGGGGGGGTGCGCTGTGATATGGAAGCTCAGTGAAGTTAACTGCATCTGAAAACTAATTTCCTCAAAGGTATTTTGAATTTGAAAAGGGCTGCGTTCAGAAGTAGTATCGAGAGCTCAGCAGACAGTTTCAGTTTCACTTTTAGTTTCAATAGTTTGATTTGTTGCTGCCGAGAGCCTGCAGGAGTCACGGGCGGGGTGCGGGGCTGGGAGTGAGGAGGTGTGCTCTGTGATGAGGAAGCTCAGCTTGGACACAGCCCAGAGGTGGAGCTGGTCCCAAAAGGCGGTTCTAGCCTCAACCGGTCGTTTTTGCTCCCCTGCCTGACTGCCTCAGGATACCACAGGATTTCTCAAACATGCATGAATGAGTTAAAGTGAGACTCTGGGCATGTTTTTAATGAGAAGATAACATTATAACATGATATAAAACTCAAAAAAGTTGCTTTTACATGATATTGCCCCTTTAAGATTAATTGTCTATGGCAGCCATCTTGAATCATGAGAGCAATCAAAGGTTACCAGGTTCATAAAAATTCATCCAGTGATTCATGAGGCATTTTGCCAATAAATTAATGTGGGTGATGGCTCAAGACTTTTGCACGGCGCCGTGCCACAGTGAAATTGGATTTGTAATGAAATAAAATGGTTTGACAGTTAAACTTTCCAGGTTACCACATTATTATCTTGTTTTACCGAGTTGTTTTTTTTTTTTCTTTTACTGCATCTAGGTTCTGGAAAAGAGCATGCGCCTGGAGTGCAAGTGTCACGGTGTCTCGGGTTCCTGCACGACCAAAACCTGCTGGACGACCCTTCCCAAGTTCCGCGAGCTCGGCTACCTCCTCAAGGAGAAATACGCCCACGCGGTGCACGTGGAACCAGTCAAAGCTAGCCGCAAAAAGCAACCCAAGTTCCTCAAACTCAAGAAGACTCACTCTTACCGGAAGCCTTCGGACACGGACCTGGTGTACATAGAAAAGTCGCCCAACTACTGCGAGGCGGACCCTTTGACCGGGAGCCTGGGGACGCAGGGGCGGGTGTGCAACAAGACAATGATGCAGCACATCAGCGGCTGCGACCTGATGTGCTGCGGCCGGGGCTACAACACACACCAGTACTCCCGCGTCTGGCAGTGCAACTGCAAGTTCCTGTGGTGCTGCTACGTCAAATGCAACACGTGCAGCGAAAGGACAGAGGTGTACACGTGTAAGTGAGAGTATTTATTGATAGGGTAGGGACAATTTCATGAGCGGTTTTATTCCTGGACACAAAAGAATCAAGTCTGCTGTGCGACGTAGCTGGAGACGGAGCGTCACGGTTGTTTTGCACACAAAGCTCTTCATCCCTTGTTCACGGACTGTGTGCTGGGATGCAGTCAGTAACACTGGAAATGAAAAACAAAAAAGAAACCGTAGCCTGACATGTGGCACCGGGCTACACTTCTGGATGTTTTTTTCACTGTTTGAACTTTGAGGTGAAGCTCGGCAGACACCCTGCTGCAGTTTCCCCCGCTCCTCTGCACAGATGAAATAGCCATTTTGAAATATTTAACATTCTGTATCTAGTGAATGAGAATTATTAATATTAATTTATTCTGTAAAGAACTACAGATTTTGTCCGATATGGCTCAAAATTAGCTAAAGTTTTTTATTTTATTTTTTTAGTTTGTTAGAGGGATAAAACTTATCCACAGTTAACACACTGGATTCAAGGCTGCCTGTTCTCTGCTGTAGTCGCCTCTCTTTTGACCGTTAGTTTTCCCCTTCCCTCTGTTTGCTGCTAGTCTAGAAAATCCCTCCTGTCGAGGCAGAAGTCTGTAACTGCTGACTTCAGTGGCGACGTCCACTTCAAGCTGATTTGACTGGAAATATAAACCGATCAAAAACACGAGCACAATTTTCCACGTTTGGTTAATATAGAGTATATATTTGTAAAGGCCTATTTTTCTATGAATGTTTTTATTTATATCTTTTTTTTTTCATACTCTGCGTCACGCGTAGACCCAGAGACGTGTTTTATGAACCCCTGTGAACAACATAAAAAGAAAAAAAAAAGCTGATTTATTGTAAGTTGGCCCAAGCTGTCACTGCCAAGACTGTATATTGTACAGGATAGAGACTGTTTATATGTGTCTGTGTTCAAACGTCTGTGTTTACTGCATTTCATAACTACTACTGATGGAATACAGGAACAGATTAACACCAGCAAGACTTTATTTTCATCATTGCCTCCTTGCACACCACCCTTTTATGAGAAACGGGCAACCACTATGAGGAAATAACCTGTGAGGAATGTTTTGCTTCGCTGCTGTTCTGATAGGATGAGATATAAATTTTTTTTGAGCAGTCATAAAATCACGTTAATATTTGGTTAAGCTTCAGACCTTTCTCATAAATGAGCGTGAAGGGGATCTGTTGAGCTGTAAATTTCTAACGTTCATAAACATTTCTAAAGGGAAAATAAAAAGGGATTTATTCTTGTAATAATTTCAGACAAAATGGTTTGACGTGTAAAATTTAGAAGTAGTACTTTGCTCAAGACTCTGTTAAACATGGGCACAATAACAAGAAACAAACCATGACAATACTTTTATTAATCTATTATTATTTTATTTATTTAGCTAAAATCCTGGTGAAAATATTCTATTAACAATTCATTTGCTTTTAGTCTGGAGACCCTCATTTGACATTTCATGACTCGCAGAGGGGTCCCAACCTTGGCACTACTGCTGAGGCAGAAAGGACAAAGAAATTAAGCCTCACACAAACAGTTAACGTGCAAAAATTCCAATTTGTACCTAAAACAACTAACTGAACCTTAAGTGTTTGGTCATCACACATGTTTTGTATTTGTTGGAAGTGTTTTGTACGGAGCACGTCTGGTGACATTGGATTTTAAAAAATCTACGTGTGGCATCAAGATCATTCTTGCAGTTATTTCCACGCAGAATCTTGATTGTTGACATGGACAAGTTTGAATTAATTTCATTTAGTTTTAATATAGGAATGAATGACAGTCACTTACATTAGCCATGAAGTAAATCTTAGCATTATACATTGCAGCTATGAGACACAAGTGACGACTGGAGTTGTCTTTTGTCCAAAAAGCTGTATTTTTTTAAACTCAGCACTCAAAACAGACTCCTCTCATCACTTTGCTGTGAAAGAGTTGTATTTATGTCACATTCAGGAACACATTAAAAGAATCTGTTTCCCAACACACACTTACAGTAGTACTTATTTTATCTCATAAATACTAGAAATATGAAAGACGAACTGTTCGAATTGAACCATGGAGGTATACTCCTTGGATTAAGCACACACCAAAAATATTAAGAAGTGTGGGGTATTTTTGAACAGTTAAACAAATACAGCGCATTCATATGACTCTAATAATGTTTGTATCTCTCACAAAGAGCATTATCTCATGACCACACATTCATTAGTTTTTTATCCAATGTCACCAGATGGGTTCCATAGTTTTATGCAGGAGACATGACAAAAAAAGAGTCGTTACTTCCAGATTTGAAAATAAAATTCTTAGCCTGAATGTGGAACTATCCAAACACCAGATCAATCATGTGAAATCCAAGTTTTTGTGACCCGTTTAAACTTTGAATGATGTTTCTACTGTGAAGTACGAGCTGTAGAGCTTCAGAGGGCTGGGCTTCAAACTCAATCCACTAACTTCCTGTTATATTGTGTGAATTCTGTTACATCGTAAAATATACAACAACTGGAAGTCGTGGCACACTATTCTCCATCAGTCCACATGGTTTAATGTATTTTTTTTTTTGGCTTTTTCCAAAGCAGACAGAAAAAGGAGAATAATGGCAGAATAGTAATAAGGGGGCTTCATTGCTTATGCGTTACCACCCTTAATTATCTTCATTCCTGATTAAATGGGGATAAATTAACTAATAGAATCATTACGTTTACTTTAAGCTAAACATAAAATCACTCAGTTAGCTCTAAACATGTTGTGGTTTGGACTCCCTGTTTGGTCCCTTGAGGCGCCGCGAGACAAAAAAATACAAATGTTATCCACCATCATGTGGTCACCATGGTGATAAATCAGCTTTCAGAGGGCGAGCACAATGTGTGCAACAGTGGGCCCAAAGACAGAGATGTTCTTTGAGAGGCGACAGTTATTCAGGCTTAATTGAGGGCCCATGTTGAGGAGTGGAAAGCGGGTTGAATGTGTGCGCGGAACCAACGTTTGTGCTCTAATGGAAGGTTCCGGCTGTAATTGATGAGGCTGGTCAGGCAAAGACGTGTCACCATGATGACTTGCTCAGTCGAGGGGAGGGGGGGGGGGGGGGGGGGGGGGGGGGGTGCGGAGCTGTCAGGTGATAGAGGACTCGCACATCTGCTTCATTCACTCCGTGGGCCACTAGTTGCTACAACAACTCCTGAGCGATGGAGAAAATGCGGGGCGGTCTCCAAGAGAGGCCGGCCGGCTCGATGGGGGGAAATGTTAACGACGGCCAAGCTCTCAAGTCGTTTACAGATTCCACTCTCACCGGCCCCTGGTTGAGGAAGGTGCTGATGGAGAAAACCGGACAAACACGGCTTGTAGACGTGCTCACCAGGATTTTGGAACTTTTTTTTTTTTTTTTTTGCAGTGAAAAGAAAGACACACACCTTCTTTGTGAAACAGCTGAGAAGCAGAGCAGAGAATTTCGGTTTAACTTACTGTAGATAAGCCGTATTGTGTATCAGTGGCAGCATAATCTACCTTGAAAAAAAAAAAGGGGAAAAGGGCGTGAGGGGATAATAACAGAGGCTTGTCTTGGTCTGACAACGGCTTTTCAGCTTTCATAATATTGCTACAAAAGACTTGTATAAGAAAAGGCAGCTGTTCAAAAGCCTCTGGTTAAAGCTAAACTAAGGGTTTTTTGTGTTGAGGGACTCGCATCCCATTATCTCCTGCACAACAAGCTTTTGCTTTAGCTCCTTTTGTACGTGCCTCCTATTAACTTTCACCTGCTGGCATTTGAAAGACGGTGGCCAAGTCCCAGCTTTGTGTGAATTATTTCAATGCGACGCGCCAGAATTACAAACTCGCCCTCTGGGTCTGGTTAAATTTTGGATTAGCTGGAAAAATTTACACCATTGAAACCTGCCATTCGCGGCGCGATGGTGCAGTGTAGCCGGTGTCCCGGGGCAATCCACCTGCGGCGTTTCTCAGCCAGGTGCAAAGCTCCATCACACACACACACACACACACACACACACACACACACACAC